TAGCTCTCATTGTGAAGCTCTGAACTTTCTTTCTCTCTCTCCCTTCTCTCCCTTTCTCTTCCCCACGCTGCAGTACATGCTGTGGAGAGTAAGTGGCCCTGTCCCCCAGGAAGCCAAGCCCCCACATCTGGGGCAGCCTCCCCTCCCAGGATGGGAGGAGTTTGCATGGGTCTGGGATTGGGGCCTTCCTTTGGCCTGGCCACTGGGGGTGACTGGGTGAGCTGGGCTCCTTTCAGCAGGATCAGGGTCAGATGGCAGGAAGAACTTGCTTGGGAACAGGCGGTGCAGGGCAGCCACTGGGTTTTCTTCGGTGGGGGCTCTGAGGGAGGGGGCGGGGAGTCCAGGAAAGAGCTCAGACAGCATTCCCAGGTCCCACCTCACTGGGATTCAGTGACTGGCCATCCAGTCTGGTTAACGAGAGACCAGAGTTGGTGGGTTTTGTTTCCTGACCTGCAAGCAGAGCCTTGGTGGGGGTGAAGGCCTAGGAGTGATGCCCATAGCAGGCTCCCTGTACATGTCGGTAGAGCTCGAGTCTGTGTCCTTAAGAGCCCCGAGGAGGGCATGGCCTCTCCGCCAGACCCAAGGAAGGTCCTTTCCACCTGCCCTCAGGCAAGGCCAGGCTGGGGGAATAAGGGTCAGAGAAGAGCTAGGCAGGTCACACTCCAGAGGGAAGAGTGAAGTGGCCTGAGTGAGGACTCTGACAGAGTCAGGTGGCCAGTCCTGCTCCACCTGGTGACACCTTCCCCCTTTTTTCCTAGTCCACGACCTGCAGAGCTTCGGCCTGGACAACGTACGTACCAGGTGGAAATCAGAGAGGGCGGGTGGGTGGGAGATGGTTGCTGCCCTCCCTTCTCTGTGGGGACATCCTGGGTTGGGGAGCAGATAAAAATACACCACGTTCTGACGGGGGACCAGACTGAGGGCTGAGTCACTTGGGGGTGACTTTGGACCTGAGATCTGGGCAGGCTGGAGACAGGAGATGGGGTTGGACGAGAGCATTCCGGACACTCCCAGGAGGGACTGTGGCACTTCTCATGAACCACAGGGCCTGTGTGGGTGGATCAGCTGGAGAAGCTGGTGGACACCAGGCCACAGGGCTCGGGCCATGCTGGAGAGTTCGGTCTTTGTCCTGAGGGCAGTAGGCGGCTCTCCGTCCACCTTAACCAGGGTCATGACTTAATCAGATGCTCAGAGTTTTAAGGATCCCTCCAGTGACTGAATTTGACATAGACTAGAACAGGGTGGGAGCTGGGGCCCCTCCAGCCTAGGCTTCCCTGGCTTGAAACCCCAGGGAAAGTGAGCAGCTGCCACAAAGGGCCCCCGCCCAGTCTTTTTGCCTAAAGTATGGATGCAGCGGGAACCTCAGACACTGGGGCCTGTACACGCTGTGAAGGCGGGGTCCCAGGTGGGGAGAAGGGAGGCCTGTCTCGGATGCCCCCAGACAGGGCTGCTCCTGCCCACCCTCATCCCCACACGTTCGCTCCCGGACCCAGGGGCCCTGTCTGCACCTGTCCTGCAGAGCCTGCACCTGTAGTGGGGTGGGGCCTGCTGGGGGCCTCGGGTGCCCTGAGTCTCAGACACCGGTGTTGCTTGCAGATCAACATGACCCACTACATCCGGCACCTGTCATTCGGGGAGGACTACCCAGGCATTGTGAACCCCCTGGACCACACCAACGTCACTGCACTTCAAGGTACCAGCCTGGGAGGTAGTCCCAGCCCCGAAGCCCTGCACGACACCCATGCCCAGTGCCCTCTTCTCCCTGCAGCCTCCATGATGTTCCAGTACTTTGTGAAGGTGGTCCCCACCGTGTACATGAAGCTAGATGGGGAGGTAAGTCTGCGGGGGCTCAGGTACCTGAGACCCTCTTGGTGTCAAGCACTGAAGTCCCTCCAACCTGGGAGGTGAAGTGCCGCTCTCATTCCCATGTGCTGGGTGCCAGGCCGAGGCTCAGAGCATGTGGGTGCTGTGCCCTCCCAGGCCTCAGGCTGTCAGACAGCAAAGCACTTGCTCAAACCACTTCCATCTATTCATCCAGTGCCCACTGTCTGTCCCCCTGGTCTGCCCTGGGCTGGGGCTAACCCTTCCTGGGCCCCTTACTCCTTCTGCTGTGGCCTGTGGAACAGCACCTCAGTGCACCGGTCAAGTGCTTAGGACTGAGTGCAAGGGAAGTAAGGCCCAGCCTTGCCAGGAGCTCATGGTGCGTGCAGCCTTGAAGAGTTGCTTCTCATCCGTGGACCTCCACTGAGAGGGTCCACCAAATGTAGTGGGAGTGGTAAACTCCCACTGGGAATTTCCCTGGAGTGGTAAACCTGAGGAGCTGGTGATGGGAGGGAAGCTGGGGTTGTTAGGCTGGGAGAAGGCGTCTAGGCTGTCCCCAGGCCTCACAGTGTCGCTACCAACATGGGGCCTCGTTTTCTCCTCCATGACATTCAAGGTGCTACAAAGCACAAGGCAGGAGCCAGGGTCAGGGGGCGGGGGTTGGGAGTCAGGTTGTAGACCCGGCCCCAGCCCAGGTTCCCCTCTTGTCCCAGGTGCTAAGGACAAACCAGTTCTCTGTGACCAGACATGAGAAGGTCGCCAATGGGCTGCTAGGCGACCAGGGGCTTCCCGGAGTCTTCGTGCTGTACGAGCTCTCGCCCATGATGGTGAAGCTGACAGAGAAGCACAGGTGAGGGTGGGGAAAGGGAGGGCGCGGGGCCTGGTGGCAGGAGGGGTGCCTGCTGATCCCCTCCCCCTGTCAGGTCCTTCACACACTTCCTCACGGGCGTGTGCGCCATCATCGGGGGCATGTTCACAGGTTAGTGCCTCCCGGGTGTCTGGGGTCGGGGCGTGGTGGGAGTGTAAAGCCTGGGTTCCCCCCAGATTTAGGTTGGGGGAGAAGGGGTGCATCAAGGCCAAGGGGAGATGCTGGCTTGACCAGGAAGGCTCTGGAGGTCAAGCGAAGGGCCCAGCTGGGCCAGTGCCAGCCCTTGTCTCTCCCCCCAGTGGCCGGACTCATCGATTCACTCATCTACCACTCAGCACGGGCCATCCAGAAGAAAATCGATCTAGGGAAGACAGTGTAGTTGTCCCCTTCCCCGTTGCTGTTCCCTCGGTCTCCCGTCTCTCTGCCCACCTAACCCTCCCTCCCCCTCCGGAGAGTCTACCGCAGCCCCAGGTGGATAAACATGTTGGTTGTGATAGTGCTGGTCTCCGTGTGGTTCTTGGGTCTGGCCGGAGCCTGCAGATGACCCCTCATTGTAGCCACTTACTGAAGCCAGTCAGGACTGATGGGTCAGGCCAGATGCCCTCCGGGAGCCCCCATGAACACCCTCTGGTTTACAGGGCTCCATTCAAACCAAACTGATGGTGACTGCACAGTCCTGTCCTCAGTCCCTCCCCCACTGTGCTCTGGGGGCCTTCTGGTTTCAGCCTCAGGGCTGAGATGGACCTTTGCAGGATGAGTCTCCTGGAGCCACTGTATCCCCCAGCTCCATGAGGGTCCGACCCCAGTGTTAGTAACACAGCCCTGGAAGCGGGCTAGGGCTTGCCACTTGCCACTGCTGCAGTGACCGCTAAAGCTGGGGCCCCTGCCGCCCTGAGTTCAGTCGCCTGCATCTCTGACCCTGGTCTGTGCCAAGCCCTTGCTGGCTCCTGGTGCCAAGGGTGTCCGGCCAGGTCCTGTGCAGTCTCCTAGGTGGAGGCAGAACTGAAGGACAGCAGTGGCCATTCTGGAGCAGGGCTAGCATCAGACCCCAGCTCTGGACTTAGTGAGGGCTTCCCATCATAGAGCCCAGCCCCGAGCCCTGGCTGGTGTGGATTGAGCAGCAGCTGAGAACCAAGATTACTGGTTTGATTCCCAGTCAGGGCACATGCCTGGGTTGCGGGCCAGGTCCCCGGTTGGAGGGCGTGTGAGAGGCAACTGATTGATATGTGTTGATGTATCTGTCATACATCGATGTTTCTCTCGCCCTTTCTCCCTATCTTCCCCTCTCTAAAAAATGAACAAATAAAACCTTAAAAAAAAAAAGCCAGGCCCCGAGACTCCCCCACTCCCCAGAGACGTTAACAGCCGGTCGGTGCACCCAGTCATTTCTGGGGAGGGGGTTCCGTGTCAGGCAGTGCTGGGGCTCACGCGGGGAGAGGGCAGTGGCAGTGAGCTATGGAGGCAGGCAGACCTGAGGTCCAGCCCTGACATGATCACTTACAATCTGTGAGATGCTGAACCTGTCATTTAATCCAGGGACCAGTCTCATCTGAATGATGCAGGTGACAGCTGTGGGGAGCCGTGTTTTCTTGGCCACCCAGGAACTCCCAGCTCAGTGGTTGGGAGGAGCCCCCTCCAGCCCTGAGCCCCAGGGCAGGGCCCCATCACACATCCCATCCCCCTGGCTGCAGAGACCCAGGGTGAGCCAGGCTCTGTCAGGACCAGGAAAGCTTTCTCCTTAAGAGGGGAGGTTGCTGCAGCCACCCTGCAGTTCCCCATTAGTGAATGAGCTGCCCCCAGAGGACAGCGGAGCTGAGCCAGAGGCTTCCGAACCCTGTAACAAGCTCCACCTGAAGCCAACCAGCAAAACCCTGGGAATTCGTAATTCCAGCCCAAACATTCACCTTGTGCTCAGGCCAGTGCAGGCTGGAATTGGAGCCAACAGTGTCCTTAACTGGTCTGGCTACTCTGAGGGTTGGTGAAGGGTAAATTAACGAAGTCTGTGAAGTGCTTAGCTGTCGTGGAACGGCAGAAGCCATAAGCAGATTAGGCGAGAAGGACCCAGACGTTGGCAGGAGCGACAGGTGGGCTGCTCGGAGGGTATGACACGGAACCAGGGCTCCTCCTCGGCCCTGAACATCCTGCCCGGCGGCGGGGCCACACAGGCAGCCCTTCGTGCTTGTGTGTTCGTTTGTCCACTTTCATCCTTGTGTATTTGTTTGCCCAGTGAGTCCCCAGCATCTGAGGTCACCCAAGAACATCTCTGTTCTCTGCCCCTGGAGTCTCACAGCACATACTCAGGCATCCAGAGTGGTGGATGCAGATGAAGGTTTATTCAAACGAAGAAGTGAACTCAAGTAACTCATATTGATGGGAAGGACTTCCAGGAATGGGAGATGGGTAGGCGCTAGCGGATCAGAGTCCAAGGTCAGTTAGGGCCAGGGGGCTGGTGGAGGGGGCGGAAGATGACCTGGCTGATCTGACCAGGCATGGTGTAGAAGGCGAGGAGGAGGAAGATGATGATCAGCGCCAGCAGCAGCAGCAGGATGTGCCAGTACCGGCGCCAGGTGAAGAAGATGAAGGTCTTCAGCAGGTTCACAATTCAGTTGAAGGAGGTTTTGGGTGACTGCAGAGGGTTGGGGAAGGTGGTGTCAGAACGATGAGGGAGCCCTGAGCCTCCCAAACCCCCCTCTTCCAGTGCTGGCTGGCCCCCCAGGTGCCTACTCACTTGGGCTTCTCCAAGGGCTCCGGCTCCTTCCGCCCCTTCCCCACTGGCCTTTTCTCAGCCTCTTCCACAGTCAGCAGCTCAAACTCTGCCTCCACCTTCCCCTAGAAATGGGAGGAACGGAGGCTGAGCTCTCAGGTGACTCAGACCTGACTCCCCAGTCCCTGGCCTGGTCACACCCACCGTGAGGATGTAGATGTTGCCTCCTGGGTCGAGGAACTCTGTCTGTGTCTTCTGGCCGGCCCTTCCTCCTCCTCCTCCACCTCTTTCCTGCCTGAGCCTCCTGCTGCTCCCGCTCCCGTCCTCTGGCTCCTTCAGCTTCACCACAGGCCACCAACCCCGCAAGTAGCGAGAGCAGTGGGACAGATTGCACCTGGGCCCAGCCCCATCACGGGCCAGCCACACAGAACAGAGCTCTGGCCCCGGTGCCCTGCACCATGTCCGGTAGCTGCAGCTCGAGGGATCCTGCAAGTCCAGAGCTCTCTGGGTTAGGCAGGAGATCAAAGTCCGTTTGGGCCACGGGGAAGGAGGCAGTACATGGGATTGTAAATCAGAGCACCAGAAATCATTAGAATGTGGTGGTTGTTACGCAGCTATGAACCACTCACCACAGCCCCCAGTGAAACAGGGTCAAGGGCAGGACCAGATTGCTAAAACAGGCACCAAAGGCCGTGGCCTCAGAGTCCGGAGCAACCTGAGTGGGGTCAAACCAGAGGAGTGAGTGGGGGACTTTGGGGAGGAACGGCGGACACTGTGCTCATGGCTAAGTTCAGTAATTCGGCCAGACGGCAAAGGTTAGTGACCTAGGGCTGACATCCAGGATCCCACTGCGTTAGAAGAAGGAACCAAGGGCCAGGAGGCAGGGCAATGAGGGCAGAAGTCGAGTTAGGGTGAGGTGGGAGGCTCCAGTACCGAAGAAGTCGTTGGCGGAGATGCAGTATTAGTCCCAGACCTGCAGGACCAGCACGCAGGCTGCCCGAACTCCGCCTCCTCCAGCGCGAAGGTCTGGGCGGCACCGGATGCTCACCTCCCACTCCTCCGTCTCCGTGGGCAGGTAGTCACAGCGGAACGAGAAGCACCAGTTGAAGTTCCCTCCCCAGTCAGGGAGTTGAAGTGCACGGCCGTCTCCTGCCTGTCGTGCTCCAGCCCCTTCACCCAGCTGGACCTGGGGGGGAGGGCCGCCTGAGGGGGTGCATCTGCCAGGGCCAAACCCAGAACCCAGCTTCCCCCTGGGCTCCCCCACCGGGCCAGTCCTTCCACCCAGCTCCAGGTACCTTAGAGGGCTTAGGGGACAGAACTCTGGCCCGGCCCCAGGGCCCGAGCCCCAGTTTGCAACCTCACCTCAGTGTTCAGCAGCCTGTGCCGTGCCGCTGGCAGGCCTACCTTTTCACCCAGCTGTGGCTCGACATCTCTCCAGTGAGCGGGTTCACAGCGTCCAGAACCACATCCCCCGTGTTCCAGATGATGACTCTGAGCTCATAACTGGGGGGTGCATGGGGGGCAGGTTCACACTCTTGAGGGGAGTCCTGGGAATGGCTGCAGGAAGCAGGAGGGACCTGGGCCAGGGCCACTGATGACCACTGAGCATCTGTTTTTTCCCTCCGCTGGGTGATCAGCATGTGTGTGGTCCTTTGAGGGACAAGTATCGCCCCGTCCACTGTGCACCGCCCCATCCACTGTGGACTGCCCGTCCACTGTGCACCACCCCGTCCGCTGTGGACCGCCCCAGCCACAGCAATGGCACCAGAGATAGTTGCTGACCCAACCGAGCCAGCAAGGTTCTCCCTCCCATAAATCTGGAATCAGGACCCTGAAAAGTTGAGTCATGTACCATCAGACGCAGAGCTGGAGCCACGGTGAGCCAAAGCGACATGCAAGCTGAAGTTCTGGGGAGCCGAGGAGGGGCAGGTGGGCAGAGAAAGCCAGTCTGCAGAGAGAAGTAAGAGACAAAGCCACACAGTGTGGCAACACAGCATACAGCCCCTGAGGGACAAAAGAAGGGGCTGCAACCTTCTTGGTCCTGCCCCAAATAGCCCTGTCCTTGGCTGTCACGGGGTCTCCTGGAGGTTTTCTCTTGTCCGGTATCAATTCCCCCTTCACTGACAGCACCCTGATTTTCCATTGGTGACCCCTCATCCCAAATACTGTCAGTCTATGTGAATCTAGAGGGAGAGACAGACCCTCTACCTGGCTCCAGGGGTGGGGCCATCACCTAGGACATCACCCAGAACTGGCCAACCAGTTGCAGCTGTGTAACCACATGGAGTGGTTCAGGGATCAGCGTTTGACCCAAGCTGGCCTAACGAGAGCCAGCCCTGAGACTCCAACAGGAAAAGAGGTGTGCATTTTTCTGCTCACGTAACCCAGTTGGTCACATGTAAACCTGGCACCATTAGAAGCCACCTTGCCCCCAGACCAAAAGCCTGCCTGAGAGTGACGCCAAGCAAAGCAAAGCCCAGAGGTGGAAAGTGACAGATTGCTAACAACCTCTGAAATGCAGGCACACTGCACAGAGCTCTCCTCTTACTGGCTCAGGGCACTGGGGGCTTATTGGTACTTGGAAATGACAGACAGCCGACCCACAAGAGCTTGTTTAAAAAGGGGGGACCTAATGGCTCACCTAATTAAAAAGCCTGGGTCGGCAGCCTCGGCCTACTTCACTGGGGGCCCAGGCTGCACTAGGCTGAGAGGTGCCTGCCCCGTGGCAAGAGGGGCCAGGACTCTCTCTCTCTCACCTGATTGGCGGCCGAGGCTTGATGTCAACTGGGGGTGATTCAGTCCCCGGGGGGGGGGGAGGATGTCAATCCACATGTGAAGAGATCCCTGGGGACACATGTGAAGTGGCAGCAGGTTATAGGGTCTTGCTGGTGTCTCCACTTCCCCTAACGGCCCTGTGGCCAGAGGCTGTGCCTTGCTGGGGTAGAGAGAAGAACTGGGATCGAGAGAGAGTGGCTGGGCAGACCTTGGGTGATGAGGATGAAGGTGGGGTCTGAAGTGGAGGATCCAAGGCTGAGGTTAGGTTAGGGGATCAGGGATGAGGCCCTAGGAGTGGAAGGTCAAGAGCCAAAGTAAGGTCTGGTGCCTTTGAGGTCCAGATCCTAGAGACCTGGGGTCAGGTTGGGAGTGCCAAGTATGAATGAGCCTTGGTGGCCCAAGGGTGGGAATCCTGCAGGACCAGAGTCCAGGGTGGGGGTAGGAGGTCCAAGACTAGAGTGGGGATGCTGGGGACCACGATCGGGGGCCAAAATCAGAAGCAGCAACGTAGTGCCCAGGTGAAGGTCTTGGGGAATAGGCATCTTGGGGACCCAGGGTCCAGGGCCAGCTTGGAGCCCTGGGGCTCTGGGGTTGGGTGCTGAGCCCTCCCTCACCTGCAGCAGCCCCGGGCTGCGGGATGGTAGAGGGGCAGAGTTTCTACATGCTCAGGTACCAGCTGAATCCCAAGACCTGGCATCTCGTGCCAGCGCCACAGCACAAGAAATGCCTGGGCCTCCTCAGAGACCTCACTCGCCACCTTGGTGCCCCCACTACCTGCAACAAGAGGGATGTGATCCCGGTTCCATACAGCTCCCAACTCTCCTCCCTTCTTCCCCTCACCCTTCAACAGGAGCTCCAGGCCGAGGCAGCTGCTGTGGTGGACCAAGTCCACGGGCTTGGGGGCAAGTCCACAAAACAGAGTGGGGCATGCTGCCGTAACAACTTCTGCCCGTGAAAAGCTGGCAGTCGGGGGGAGAGTGGGGTTGAAGGGGCTGTAGCCTTTGCACACTGTTTAGACACAGACCACCAGCCATTTATGAGACCGGGGCTCAATTCCACAAGCACATTCTGTTGTATGGGACCCCCTATGGGCCACCCTGTGTTCTGGGAATGTGATTAACTATGGCTCTGAGGAGTCCACTTTGGCTCTTTGGGGATCTCACGCTCACCAACAAAGACTATTCTCTCCCTACCATCCAAGAACCTTGTCCTTACTCAGCCAAACTCGCCTTCTCTGTTTGCAGAAAAAGGCAGACTCTCTGGGGAGCACATCAGACCGGGCCCCAGGAGCCCCCGTACCTTGTTCTACCATCTTGCTCCCTATGGACTGCCCAGCAGAAAGGGGCTGGCACCTGGGAGCAGGGTGTCAGGCGGTGTCAGAAAGACCTTGCTGCCCACCTTGACAGCTCCGGCTCGGTATTCAGGGGTGGGCAGGCCCCAGCACTGGCACAGCCCCACCAGGATCTGTGAAGGCCAGACCGCATCACGCCAGGCATTGTACCCCTCCCTGCAGGCAGAAAAGGAATATGCCTCATTGGGGCCAGTGATGGACACAGCTGGATACAGGACTGAGATAGGGACCCTTGAGGACATGGGATCCAGGCTCATAACCTGATGGAAGACAGCTCAGTCATCACTTATGGTAACTGTGGAAGAAAAAATGTATACCAGGCACTCCTAGGAAGGAGGTACCGATATAATTACCTCCATTTTGCAGATGAGGAGACTGAGGCTTAGCGAGAAAAAGTGACTCATCAGTTACAGGATCCCAATTCCCAAGTCCAGGTCTGGACCACTAAGCTCTAATGTCTTGGTCACGGGAGGCCCTCGTCTATGAAATCAAGGGATCTGGAGGCACTAATGGAAACGTGCTCCTGGATGTCTTCATAAGACGAAGAATGGCTCCCGAGGGCTCTGTCCGACTCACGCATCATCATACTGGGAGGCCAGCCCACAGTTTGCCCTGTGGTAGCTGTAGAACCGGTTTTCCAGGTCGATGTGGGTCTCCCCGGTGAGGTCGTCAGAACCCATAAGGTCATGATCAAACACAGCCACGGTCAGCTCTGGCTCAGCAGGCAGAGAGACGCTGAGCTCTAGGACCCTGGCCATCAGGGAGGATGGCTGAGGACACCTCTGTGCCCCAGGAGGTGGTCTTATGTGGGCAGGGGCTCCAGGGGTCTCCGAAGCCTCTGTCCATTGCCCCACCACCAGCACATAAGCTGCCTGAGCATGAGCTGGACCACAGGGCCAAATGGCAAAGGTGTTTCCAAAACCCCGGGCCCAGCCTCACTCACCAAAGATGGGGTTCAGCTGCTTGGGGATGTAGTGCTCCTTGGTGTCCTGCTACTCCCGGCCAGCGCTCACCACCACATAGGGTTCTGCTTTGCCGCTGGGGTCCGCGGGAGCCATATTGGTAGCCTAGGGGAACAGCATGAAGTGGAACTGAGAGAAATGTCATTGTCATAGCCCAAGGTTACTACCCTTGCTGAAACTAATCTTAAGATTGAGCGTAAGCAGGAAGTTACCAAGGAGAGAGCTCCCATCACCAGGAGTTAACTAGAGGTTATACCAAACGACTTTTATTCTCTTTGAAATAAAATAATTCATCTCTCTGTGAAATAGGTAAGACACATAAATCAGTATAACAAAAATATAATAAAACAAAATATGCAGGGAAATGTCTAAGGGCTTATTATTCAATTTATAACTTTCCATATTGTTTGACTTTTATTTTTTAGTAGTTCACTTATAAAATTAAAAATTTTAACTAAATAAAGGAATAATACAATGAGCACATGTGCCCAGCTTAATCAATAAGACACTACTGACAAATGGAAGCCCCCTGAATTCCCTCACCTGACTTAATTCCCTTTCCAACACTGGCATAGCCAGAACTCTTTACTGGGGGTTTATCACTAACACACACACACACACACAAAAATAGTAAACATACTTTTACTACAAATACATGGATTCCTAAGCAATAGGTAACACCATATGGTATGCTTTTAAGCTCTATGTATTACACTTACTTTCACTGTTTTGATAATTACATAATTTAGTAAATGCATAACGTGTATAAAGTACTAGAGTATAATTTACATACAACAATATATTTTTTGCTGGCTTTTACACTCCTACTGCAGTGTATGGGAGTTCCAGATGCTCCACATTTTTACCAACACTTGGTATTGTCAAACTATTTTATTTCAGCCATTGCAGTGTATGTGAAATTATAGCTCATTGTGGTTTTCATTTTCATTTCCCTGCTGACAAAGCATGTTGAGTATCTTTGCTTGTGCTTCTTGGCCTTATGTAGATTTTCTTTTGTGAAGTAAGTGTTCACATCTTTTGCTCTACCACCGAGTTTTTCGTTTTAAATATTGCTCTTTTAATTTCTAAAAATTGTATCTGGCCCTTCAAATTTATTGTTTATTTTTAATAGTGTCTTGCTCCTTGTTCATTTTGAATTCATTATTTTATTTCTTTAAACATTTCACGTATAGTTATTTTGTATTCTCTGTCTAGTTACTCCAATATCAAGGACCCTGGGGATCTGAATCTGTTGTGATGTTTGCCTTTCTTATTGAGGGTGGCTTGTTTCTTTGTCTTCTGGCACTTTTGGTTCAGACTCATGTTTGGTTGAACTCATCCTGAACTGCAGGTGCGGTCTGCAGAGACGGCCTTGCTTTCACTTTTGCCAGTTTCCTGAGCAAACTACTAACTTGCACCATGTTAACTTAAACCCTCCAGCTGAGGTTTTGGGGATAACTTCAGGCCCAGGACTGCATTGGAACCAGCTTGTGGGCGTCAATGCTTATTGGGGTTTTTTTCCCCTTCACCAGCGCCAAGGTTAAGTCAGACAAGTTTCCTCCGTATCCCACCTGCCTTACAGGTTCCTTGTTTTGTCCGTCCTTATGCTGAGGCTATAGCTTTAGCGGCCCCACTTCATATGAAGCCTTTCACTCACACTCCTCTCTCGGGGTAACCGCCAGCTTTATCCTCTGTCCTCACTACCTGTCAACCTTCCACAAGGGAGCTACCGTTGTCCCCAGGGTCAACAGCCAACTACTGGTGAGAGAAAGCCAGCTTGAGGGCTCACTTATCTCCCTAGGTTCCTGTAGTAACTATATTCTTATTTTATGTATTCTCGATGCTCCAGGATCTGGGGCCTTACTGACCCTGGGGAGGCAACCCCTCCCAGGGCTAGCTGATTCTTAGAGTTAGCAAACAAGGCACCTGCCAGAGCACCTTTTACCTGCATACTAACTAATCCAGAACCCATACTGCAACCCACCTCCTTTATCTGGTTCTTATATTCCAGGAAGTAATGATATTCCTTCACCCTCTCATCTCCAGAACCAGGCCCCAGACAACCAAAGACAGCCCCTCCACCCCAGAACCTGCAGGGACTATTCAAACTAGCCAATCCTAAAGCTGCTTACAAACTGCCTAGCCTTGCCTAGCCCTTCCTTGCCTGCGGAAACCGCAATAACGGCTGCGGCCCTGGCGTTCCCCTCTGGACTGACCCCGGTGCTTCCCACAGTGGCCCTGGTGATGCAACGTGGCCCCTCCCCCACCCTGAGAACTGCGACGGACAGACTCTCTTCTCAAAGGCGAACCATCTCCTGGTCCCTCGGCCTCAGCATACACGGACAAGAGCTAAATCCTGGGTAGATTTTAAAAACAGTTCCTGGCTTTTACTTTGATTTTTATTTTTTCCTCTGAAATCCCTTACTTTCTTAGAACTCAGCACTGCATTTTTAACAATGCTTTCAAAGTTTCATCCCGCACTTTTAGCTTTCCGTGAGCACTGCAGGCTTTAATCCTCAGTGCTCTGAGGGTTAAAAGCTTCCCCTCTGAGAACAGACTCTGCTGCCCGAGTGATGCCCACATGTCCCCACCCCCACGCACACAACTGCGTCTGCACAGCCCTCGGAAGCTCTTCCAGCCTTGCTGGTGGTTTGCAGTTTTAAAGAGCATCCTGATTTCACCATCACTGAAAGCTGGGTTTTTCGTTTGTTCTTTTTGCTTTGGAATGATCTTCAGGAAGACAAAGGGGAAATGCCCCACTGGTGCCACGTTCCACAAACTGGGAATCATCCGACTTGCTTACTGCATTCGGATTCGAGCTGGGAGATTTATCCTCATTGACACATGTTGCTGTAGGTAGTTCAATCGAACTGCAGTATTTGAACGGACTTGTCAGGCATAATTAACTGGTGCTCCTCTGAGCCCCCACTCTCAGAGCCGCAGAGGTTACTACAAGCACCCCCCACCCCCGCAGGTGTTTTAGGAACTTAAATGAACAGGACACACCAGACTGGAGAACCTGGACCCTGAATCCAAAGATAAACCTCACCCACACAAACTGAAGCTGTACTATTAGCCAGAAACCTCCTGATTTACAACTAATTGCCATGATTACCCAGCTGCACCCCCTCCCCCATTAGGGGTGTGAGAGGCAACCACACATTGATGTTTCTCTTCCTCCCTTCCCCTCTCTCTAAAAATAGTCTTCCATTTTTAGAAATTTTATTTGATTATTTTCAAGACTCCCAAGTCACTTTTGATAGCCTCTTGTTCCCTGCTAGTGAAATAGTTTAAACAGTTGTTTTCCATTTCTAACATTCAAAAATTTTAACATCAAAGCCCTTAAAGGTTTATTTCTCCTTTGTGGGTTTTTTTTTTCTCCTGACAATTTTTTCCTAGTAGATTGTTTTCTTATATACTTTATAATTCAGGACTTTGTAAATTTGCTTATCCAAATCTATGGACCATGTGAGTGAGGCCTGATTCGGGACCAGTCGAGGCAATCTCTCAGCTTTGAGTTTTCTGGACTAAATAGATAATATCGACTCAAGTCTTAAATCAATGTGAGGACAAAACTTGAACAGTAAATTCTCTGGGAAGACACTTTCCTCCATCTCCCTCAGCTGGGATGGAGGCTGAGACGGACCTCACAGGCTCTTCTCCCACCGAGTGGGCCTCCCCGCACCCACCTTCACTGAGAGCAGAGCCCTTCCTGGGTGCTGCTTCCTGCAAGGGTCTTGGCTGTGGCTCCCACCTTGGACAGGCTATGAGAACCCATGGCTTGGGGTCCAGGCATGGGCACAGCCTCTTGAGACAAACTGAGCTTCAGGGCTTGTGATTCCTGTGGCCTCTTTATCTAGGGCCCACTGAGAATTCCCTTTCTTAAGAGCTTATCAGTTACTTAAAAGATTGCTGATCTAGCATTTCCCAGTACATTATAGCAGGAAGTCATCTCAGACCAAGATGACTCCTGTTGTGTCTTTATGCACTAAGATTCTTAGGTTGTGGTAGAACGACGCCACAGGACATGTTTCAAAATCACATCTTAGTCAGAATCCCTATATTTAAACCAGATAAAAGTACAGCATCTGTTCTGGCTCTGGGAGTGAAGGGGCAGAGCAAGCCCCCTCATTCCTCTGGTTCCCTGAGATAGCATTAACCTCAGGACCCTGCTGTGTGCTGTGTGCTGCGTGCTGCGTGGGACTGCGGCAGCGGAAGGCCCTGTACAAGACACGTGACAACAAGCCACCAGGAAGCTTGGAATTCAAGGCTGTGCTCTTCCTGGAATTCTACACCCCACTCTATGGGACTAGAACTATGAACAAGGAGGCAGGAGACCTCAGCTCTAACATCTGGTGCTGCCCTGAGCGAGCTTTGTGACCCTGGGGAGTCTCTTAACTCTGTGCCTAAGATTCTCCACCTGAAAATGAAGAAGGTGGATGGACCCTGATCTCTGAGACTTCCTCCAGATCCTTCCTCCAGACCCTTCGGTCTGTAGGTTTCACGTATGTCTCCTTTGCTGGAGGCGTACGGGGCTGATGGATACTCACCCTTACCACAGACACTCTGACCAAAAGCTTGATGGGCCACTTTTGTGGGATCCCCGGGGAGATTTGGGGCTCAGAGAATGACCCTGCCTCTGATTCAGGGTAAATGAGGAAGGAGCCCTGGAGGGAAGGGAGGATAGACAGGCCCTGGCAAGAGAATCTTCCTCCCAGATCCCCATCTGTAGTTCCTGGTCCCCCTTCATTCCTTCTTCAAACACACCTTAAACTTGCTCAGTAGGTGACCAGACCCTTCTTCCTCTCCATCTGCATCCTGACCCCCTTGCCCTCGATACCGGGGAAACATGGTCAGCCAGTCTTCAAAGTAGTTAAACTCTTCCTTCAGGGAGCTACTGTAGATCTGAAAGGCAAGGGCCTCGGTGATGGCCCAACGTCCAGAATACAAGCAGAATCCCCTCTCCCCAACACCCGGTCACCTTCAGAGTGGCGATTGCTTTTTTCAGGGACATGGAGCCTTTGACTTCAGCCTTGCCCTGGTCTTGGGCTTCCGCATCCACAGAAGTGAGGTTGACCCCATCTGGGAACACAGACCGCCCCAGTTAGAAATGTTGGTGTGGGGGGATGAGGGGGGACCGAGAGCAAGAGTAGGAAAGCCAAACTGCTTACCTAAATCCCCAGGATCATCCATTTCATCCTCGTTGAACTTGGACTGAAATCAAAGGTCAGGTCAGAAATTCTTCCCCAACTCTCACCTTCTCAATCTCCCCTTTTTCTGGCAGTTGGGAAACTTTAGTTCAGGTTCCAGCTGGGTCAGCTACTTGCATTTCTGAGGCTTTAGTTTAGCCCCGAGTCCTGTGCTGGCTGAGACAGTGACCCCCGCTACCCGTGCCCACGGGACAACTTGAAACGGGGCTACTGGTCTGAACCGAGACCTGCTGTCAATGTAAGATGCACACCAGGTTCAAGGCTTTGTGTAGAACAATAATGTACAATTTCTCATCATGAGTTACTTCCCAAAATGATTTTTACATATATTAGGTCCAATAAAATATGGTATTAGAATTCATTTCACCTGCCTCCTTTTATTTTTTTTTAAGACGGCTCCTAAAAAAGCTAAAACTACGCGTGTGGCTCACATGAGATTTCTGCCCGACAGCGCATCTCTACCTAACGGAGTTGATAGTCCCAAGACTCTAGAACCAAAGCTGAGAAAAGATGGTTGTGATGAAGAGCTGTGAACCCCACGTTCAAAGAGACCCTTCCTCTTGCCCTTTTCCCTCCTCTGCCTCCACCTGCCCCTGGAGCTCCCGCAGCGATGCGTAGTCCTGGACCACCAGTCGAGCTCTTCAGGATCTGGGACGTCCTCCTCCAGCTCTGGGCCTTGGTCCGGAAGGCCTGTCAGTGGGAGCTTCTTCAGAGGAGCCCGAGGAAGAGGGAATTCAGCAGTCCTACCCCCGTGCCATCCCCAGCCCTGCCAAGCCCTCCTCCACACATCTCCCATAACCCATCACCTTCAGGAGCCGTCTGGACATTCCTGCTTCAACCAATGAGGGATCCAGGGGCTTCCTTCCTGGGAGAGCAGAAATGAGACCAGCAGGGCAGGTGAGTAGAAGTCAGACTCCATGCCCTACCGGAGGGTCTCCAGGAGCCATCTCAGCCTGGAACCAGAGGGGCTTTGGTCTGGTAGCCCCTAAGAGAAAGGCCTTTACCTTCAAGTTCCTTGGGTACGACGTCCCCTGTCTCCTCTTCTCCTTCCTCCTTGGGGGTATCCTTCTGACCCTGGAGTGTAAATCGCATCATGTGGGGGACAATATGGGAACCCACGAGCACTGTGCGGCCAAAGGCCTGGCGTTCAGTTACTAGGATGCTGAGTGGGGGCTGCAGGTAAGGCTGCTCCGGCAAGTCCTAGGGGTGGAGAGAGAGGACCTGTGTCTCCAAAGACCTGGGGAGGTGGGAGAGGCAGTGGCAGAGACAGATGCAAAACCCTATATGTAAACCTGTATTTTCAGCCCAGCTCTGCCACAGGCTCATTGCATCACCTGGTAAGTCATTGCCTTCTAAGCCTGTTTCCCAGCTAAAAAAGAGACATGATCTTGGAGTTGAAAGACTGTTATATCAAATGACATAAGGGATGCAAAAGGATTTTGGAACCTACAAGGTGTTATCAAAAACATAAGGTGCAGCCCTGGCTGGTATAGCTCAGTGGATTGAGCGCAGGTCTGCGAACCAGAGGATCGCGGTTCAATTCCCAGTCAGGGCACATGCCTGGGTTGCAAGCCAGTTCCCTGCAGGACAGTTCCCAGCAGAGGACGCACTAGAGGCAACCATATATTGATGTTTCTCTCCCTCTCTCCTTCCCTTCCCCTCTAAAGATAAATAAATAAAATCTTAAAAAAGAACTCTTAAAAAAAAACATAAGGTGCTTATTGTTATGCTATTATGTAAAAAAAACCAATGCTCCATAAAAAAAAGAACCAATTTCCAATTTGCTAATATAAATTTAGAACCCTAAAAGTATGTATCCCCTTTAACCCACAAATTCCATATCTATCGAGAAATCATAAGGGAGGGAAACAAAATCATAATACTGCATTGCTGGGCTTATTTTACATGTACGTGACAATTATAGCATGAAGGAGGGTGGAGGGGATGGAGCTATAATGAAGAAAATTTTCTATATTTTACTGTACCTAAATTAATATTAATCTTAAGTATATTGTAAAAAGTCAGTATGCATATTGTAATCCCCAGAGCAACAACCAAGTAAAAAAATCAACAAGGGAGTTAGAGAAGTATACTAATAACTATCTATCTAATACCAAAGAAGGTAGCAAAGGAGGAAAAAACCATGAGACCAATAGAAAACAAATTGCAAAATGGTCGCTGTAAACCCAACCGTCTAAAAAATAACATCAGAAGTGACTGTTACATACTCTGATCAAAGGGCAGAGACTGTCAACTGGAGTTTTTTAAAGATGCAGGTTACATGCTGTCCAAGAGACATTCTTTAAAAAGACACATGTGGGTTGGAAGTAAAAGGATGGGGAAGATACGGCAGACAGTGACCACAGAGAACAGGAGTAGCTGCACTGTCAGACAAAACAGATATTAAGAAAGAAAATCTTACTGGAGAAAAAGAGGGACATTATAATGATAAACAGGTTAATTCATCAGGAAGGTAATAACTATAAACGTATATGCACCTAACAACAAAATCCCAAAATACAAGAAGTAAAAAGTGGCCAAAGTAATTTATTGGCCACGTTTTATTGGAACACAGTCATATTCATTTACTTGTTGTCTATGAATGTTTGCATGATACAATGACAGAGCTGAGTAACTGCAAACTTTAAAACTATGTGGTTAGCCCTGGCTGCTGTGGCTCAGTGGATTCAGTGTCAGCCTACAGACTAAAGGGTCACCGGGTTGATTCCCGGGGAACACCCCGGGCCCTCAGAGGTGAACCTGGTCCTTGGCCCATGTGGGGCTTCAGCAGGGGCTGTAATGGAAGGAGCCCTGGCTGGGGGGCCTTGTTACCACTCCCGTCTAGGTCGAGGTTTTCCCCTCTGAGATATCTAACCTTCTAGTTAGAGGGACTCTCAAGCTTGGGAGTGGCAGGCTGGAGGCTGGTGGAACTCACTGGGGACACTTGCAGATTCTTATCTACTAGGGCCTGGTGCAGCACCAGATGCCCAACACTCTGCAGCTGCTGCAAGGAGATCACCAGGGTCCCCAGAGACCTAGGGGTGTTGCACAGAGCAAAAAGAAGAGTGACCTGGGGAATGGCCCCAAGCCGCCCCCAGCCCCACCTGCATCCTTGGCTCCCCAGGCCTACTCACCTGGGGCTGAACACACGGCTGCAGTTAACCACCTGCACCGACAGACACTCTCCAGCCAGTGGGGCCCCAGAGTGTGGCCAACGGAACAGCTGGGGATAGAAGGAACTTTGTGACACCCAACGCTGGGATGACCTGACCCCCGGTCCAGAGCCTGTTTCCAAGCCCGAAATAGGAGCCAACCATCCAAACTTGGAACTAACCCTATGACTGATCTTTCAAACCTGGAACCACCCCCCACACCCTCCACACGAGGTTGATGCCAAATTAGGGCTGATCTGGGATAACGACCAATCAAGAACCCCCAATCATAACCACCCCCCCGTCTTGATTCTGACTTGTCTTAAACTGGGTCCGACCTCTCGAGCCTGAGACTGACCCCACCTCCTGAGACTATGTCTCTCAAAAGCTGGGAATGAGCCCCCCCACCCCAGGATGGACTTAGATGGGGCGCAGATCAGCTTCTCCTCATCCAGGACCCAAATCCACTGACCTCACCAATATCTGCTTCTTGGCCACAGTGAATTCTCCTTGTTTTCTGGGTGGAACCTGCTCAGAATTGAATCTAGCCTTTATCAGTACTTCCCCATGACCCTCCCCTTCAAAATCCTCAGCCCAGAGTCCAGCCCCCCTGGACTCACCTTAAAGAAAGGTAGATAATGGGGAGAGAAGGAGGCAGAGAATTGGAGATATTTGGCTGGTGGATAAGGGAACAGGCTGTAGAGATACCTAAGGATAGGGTCGGGGGCCTTGGGAATGTAGGAACCAGAGTCCCCTAGTTTGAAAAGTCCTTAGAGCACCCCTGCAAGCCTCACCCCGAAAGCTGAGCCTCACTTGTCAGTCATCGGTGCCCGGCAGCCCTGTCAGTCGCCGCACACACACAGTCAGAGTCATTGTCCTAGCTCTGCCTCTGCCTGCCTGCCCTCCTGCCCACCTGCTCGCACATCTGAATCACCTCTGAATCACGGGCCTCACCCAGCAGGTTCGGCAATGCCTGCCCTTTAGTCAAACACACAAACAGCAGCAGGGGAAGGAGTTGGAGGGGTAAGAGATGGGGGTAAGGTCCCTGTGGTTAGCTCGGTCTTCCCTGCCTGTACCACTTTTGGCCTTCATCCTGCACATCCTGCATTCTTGTGGGGTGGGAGCTGGGGTCTGGTGGGGTGGAGGCAAGGATTGAGGATAGCATGTCTGTTTGGTCCAGCTAGCCTATGAGGACTTAAGGGCATGGGCCTCATGGGGTTCCTTGTTCACCATTTCTGTCCTCAATGCCCAGCTCAGGGTCTGGTTACATTGTAGACCCTCATAACATTAGCCGAGTAAATGGGTGGATTAATAAATGAATCCCATATCCCCCAGCATTAGTACTGTGGGCACTCAACATATTTAGATCGAATACGTCCCTAACTTGCACATAACAAGTGTTCAAAAAAACTTCTTTTTTTTTTGAAGGAAAAGATTTTATTTATTTGTTTTTAGAGAGAGGGGAAGGGGAGAGGGAAATAGTGATGTGTGGGTGCCTCTCACATGCCCCCTTCTGGGGATCTGGCCTGCAACCCAGGCATGTGACCTGACTGGGAATCCAACTGGTGACTGGTTTGCAGGCTGGCACTCAGTCCACTGAGCCACACCAGCCAGAGCCCAAACTAATTTCTTAACCAGAAGCCAGAGGTCCTTACCTTGGGATTAATAACGGGACCAGAGATGGGCTCAAGGGAATCAGTAAACCCTTAAAATTCTTGGCAAAATATTGAGCACATGTGCATTTTTCTGGACACAGAACTCCTAGGTTAGGTTAATAATCTTTTAACAGATGTGTAGTACTTTTACTGAATGTATGAAGGAAGGAATGTATTTTGCAGTCTGGACCCATGGGTGATAATAACTGTGTGCTGAGTGTATTTCATGGCCATCCGTGGAATCATTCTATTTAATGGCAACTCCCATGTGCAGGGCTTGTGCTGTGATACCCTGAAAGAATGATTCCGCAGCCACCCTGCAGCCAGAGATGAGCCAGACATGGTGTCTTTCAGCACCTTTGTGGACTCCAACATCAAACGAAGCCTAGAAAGACTGCAATCGCCATCAGGACAGAAACGAGTCAGGCTGGGTTCCTTGGAGGGTGGAGCCCAGAGGGGCATTTAGATTGAGCTCAGTGAATTGAGTGCTTCCCTGCAAGCTGAAAGGTTGCCAGTTTGATTCCTGGTCAGGGCACATGCTTTGGTTGTGAGCTGGAGTCGTGCGAGGGGCAACAGATCAATGTTTCTCTTGCACATTAATGTTTCTCTCCCTCTCTTCCTTACCTCCCACTATCTCTAAAAAAATAAATAAAATCTTTAATAAAACAAAATAAGCTATGGGAGAAATAGATTTAAAAAATGTACTTGAAAAGTAACTAAATAAAATTTAATATTAAAAAAAAAAAAGCTTTGGGGACAAGAGTTGAGAGGAGACAGAAATTCAGGCAGTGGGGAGTAATGCAGGGTGTGTTCCTGAACCTGTGGTTTTTCAGTTTGGCCCGTGTATAAGGAATGTATCAGACAATTAGAGCAGATAAGATTAGGCGGTCAGAGGAGCTGGGGCCTCGCTGTGTGGCGTTTCGTCAGATATGGTCCCTTCTCGTGTGTCAGCTTCTTCTCAATAGTGGGACTAGAAAGCCCTGTTCTACTTATTTCCCAGGCATTAGGTACTCAAATGTGTTTTTTGGTCCCAGATAAGTGGTATGGATTGTTCTGTTTCTAAACAAGTTTCAAGTTGGACCTCAAGGCCTCCAAATGTTGGGGGAGGACTTCACCTCCCCATTGGAGAGATGGGGACACTGAGACCCAAAGGAAGGCAGAGGGAGGACCAGAATTCTCCTCTTGCAATGCCTTGGACTTTCCCTTTCCTATTTTCCTGAGTTCTGTGGCATCTAATCAAGCAAAGTATAGATGCGACTATTCTGGAACCTAATGGAGGTGCCTCCGCTCTGGGCTGGAACCCAGCCTGGCAGGTTCTCCCTAGACTTCAACGCCCCTAAGAACAGCCACTTTCACTTTCTGACATCCCAAAGAGGATGGGATATGGCAGAAAAAAATACTGGGTTTTGGAATTCTAATCTTTATCACCCTTTATGTGGTTTTAGGAACACCCTTTCCTCTCTCTGGACCTATTTGCCTAGCTGTTTAATGTGCACAGGATGCCATGAATAGCTTTTCAAAGTGTGGTCCTTAATCAAGATTATACAATGTGGCCCTGGCTGCTGTAGCTCAGTGGATTGAGCGCGGTCTGTGAACTAAGGGGTCACTGGCTCAATTCCCAGTCAGGGCACATGCCTGGGTTTTTGGCCAGGTCCCCAGTGGGGGCCACCTAAGAGGTGACCACACATTGATGTTTCTCTTTCTCCCTCCATTCCTTCTCTCTAAAAATAAATAAATAAACTCTTTTTTAAAAAGATGATACAATGTGGTCGTTAAAAATGCACATTTCTGCACCCACTCCAGAAATGCAAGGTATGCCTGGGAACCTGAATTTCTATCTGCTGCACTGGTATGCTGTCGCACAGGAGTCTGTGAACCTCTGGTCTCTTGGTTGTTAACATCTGTGAGTTCCCATTCTATTCTTGAAGACTCAGTGATTGGTTTGACTGTGGGTATGAGCAGTTGGTGGGTACTGAATTCTCACCCCACAGACCCCTGGTGATCTGAGAGAGGGATCCACAGATCTTGATATCAGAGTTCTCAGGACTGATGACTAGGATAAGAGGAGGGGTGTGATGGGCTTGCAGAGCAAAAGAGACCAAATGTTTATTTTAGAAGTGCCCTGGGTGACCCGTTTCCTGCCCCCCCCCCGTTTTTTTAATCTTCACCCAAGGACATGTTTATTGATTTTAGAGAGAGGGGAAGGGAAAGAGAGAGAAGGTGAGAAACCTCGATGTGAGAGAGAAACGACTGGGACCGAACCCACAACCCAGGCACGTGAGGTGACTTGACATCAAACCCCCTTCAGTTTACAGGATGACCCTCCAACCAATGGAGCCACACCATCCAGGGGAACTCGCTTTTCCTTAACACATTCATTCACAATATTTGAGAGCCTATTACATGCTAGGCTTATCTAATGTGCCAGAGGACGTAGAGGGATAGAAATTCTTTTTAGACTTCCGCCAAGATGGAGGCATAGGTGGAGACGCTGTGCCTTCTCTCACAACCAAGTTTAGAGACAACTAAATATTAGCAACAGAAAACACAGCCAGAACACAGAAAATTGAACTTTTCGGAAGTCTGATAACAACAAATTCTTCAGCCTGACCGGTAAGAGGGGCGAAACCAGCAGCTGTCGGAGCGGGGTTGCACAGAAAAACTCGGTCAGACGGACTTGGGCGTGCAGAACCCATGCACAGGGTTGGACCTAGTAAGTGACTCAGCGAGCGACCACGGGGAAACAGCCAGGGAGCAGGCGGTGAGACTACGGGACTGAGCAGGCCCCATGGCGAGCGGCAGCAGAGGGCGTCGCCATTTCCCCGCTCTGACCCTGCCTCCACATACAGCATCATAACCCAGCGACCGGAGTGGCCCCACCCTGGTGAACCACCTAAGACTCTGCTCCTCACCCAGCTGTGAGAAACAGCAGAGGAGGTCGCCAGTTCCCCGCTCTGACCGCACCCCCACATATAGCGACCTGAGAGTCCAAGGCTCCGCTCCTCATATTTAACGGGCGAGAACAGACCAAAAATGGCTCAAGAAGATCTCAAAGCCCCAGAGCCTATAAATCTAAGCGATGAAGAAATAGCAAAACTCTCAGACGCACAGTTTAAAACACTGATCATCAGGATCCTCACAGAACTGGCTGATTATAGCCACAAATTAGAGAAACATATGAAGGCGAAACTAATTGAAATGAATGGAATTGCACAGGACACCAATAGCGATGAAAAGGAAACTGGGACTCAAATCAATGGAGTGGACCAGAAGAAAGCAAATAATGGCCAAACAGAAAAGAGTCAAGAAGCAAGAATTCAAAAAAATTAGGAGAGTCTTAGGAACCTCCAGGACATCTTTAAACGCTCCAGCATCCGAATTATAGGGGTACCAGAAGGGGAAGAGGAACAGCCATGAGTGGAAAACTTATTTGAACAAATAATAAAGGAGAATTTCCCCAATCTGGCAAAGGAAATAGACTTCCAGGAAATCCAGGAAGCCAGAGAGTCCCAAAGAAGTTGGACCCAAGAAACACACCAAGGCACATCATCATTACATTAGCCAAGATTAAAATGAAGGAGAGAATCCTAGAAGCAGCAAGAGCTAAGGGGACAGTCACCTACAAAGGAGTTCCTATTAGACTGTCAGCCGATTTCTCAAAAGAGACCTTACAGGCAAGAAGGGGCTGGAAAGAGGTATTCCAAGTCATGAAATCCAAAGACCTACAACCAAGATTGCTCTATCCAGCAAAACTTTCATTTAGAATGGAAGGGCAGATAAAGTGCTTCTCACATAAGATCAAATTCAAGGAGTTCATCATCACCAAGCCCTTATTATATGAAATGTTAAAGGGACTTATCTAAGAAAAAGAAGTTAAAGAAACATGAACAGTGAAAGGACAGCAAACTCACAGTTATTAACAACCACACCTAAAACAAAAGCAAACTAAAAGGACAGCTAGATCAGGAGCAGAAACATAGAAATGAAGATCTCAAGGAGGGTTAGCAATAGGGGAGTGGGAGGAGGAGAAGGGGAGAGAAGGCACAGAAAATAAGTAGCACAGACAGTAGATAGAAAACAGATGGGGGGGCAAGAATAGTATGGGAAATATAGAATCTAAAGAACTTGAGACACATGGTCATAAACTAAAGGGGGGTAATGGTGGGGATGGGGGGGTAGGGTGGAAGGGAATGAAGGGGGGAATAGAACAACTGTAATGGCATAATCAATAAAAAAATAAATTAAACCCTGGCTGGCGTAGCTCAGTGGATTGAACGCGGGGCCTGTGAACCAGAGTATCTCGGTTGATTCCCAGTCAGGGCACATGCCTGGGTTGTAGGCCAGTTCCCAGCAGGGGACTCAAGAGAGGCAACCACACATTGATGTTTCTCTCCCACTCTTTCTCCTTCCCTTCCCCTCTCTCTAAAAATAAATAAATAAAATATTTTAAAAATAATAAATTAAAAAAAATTCTTTTTAGCCCAGTGCAGTTTTAAATAGGGTATTCTGGAAAAGTGCTGTGACGTCACTGCTTGCTCTAACAAGAGAAAGAAGGAGACGGCCATGGCTCCCAGTAACGTCACGACTAGTTCTGTGACCCTCGCTCACGATGTTCCGCGGATACCGTGGTCTCCTCTGTGACGTCAGCAGCTGGGTTCAGAATCCGAAGAGAGGGCTGGGTCCGGCGGTGGGGCCCGCCGGCTACGCGCAGGCTCGTGGGGTCCCGGCGGCCCGCTCGGCTGAGGGAAGGCCGAGGGTCTTGGCGGCGGCGACTTTGGCGTCCGTGAGGGGCCAGCCCAGACTCAGGATGCGGCGGAGCCCCCGCCCAGGCTCGGCCGCGTCCCCGTACAAGCACGCGTCCAACTTCTACAGCGACAACAGCAACAGCTCAGTGAGCACTACCTCGGGGGACACCAGCGGCCACCGGTCAGGTGGGCCGGGGCCCGGGGAGCCCGAGGGCAGAAGAGCCGAGGGCTCGAGCTACGGTGAGCCCGTCTTGAGCTCAGGATTGCCCGGAGGAACCGCATGGGACGGAAGCTCTCGGCAGAAGCCGGCGCAGCGGAGCCACAAAGTGCCGACCACCGGTGGCGCGGCTACCGTGAGGGGCGGGGCCTCGGGTGCGGGCGGGGTCGAACCTGGGTCAGCGGAGGGAGGGGGCGGGCATAGGGACTGGGCCGGGCGAGGAGCCGGGATGAAGTGGAATCTGGGCTCCTCCTAAGGGGCGGGGCCTATGGAGTGAAGAGGGAGAGGCACTAAGTAAGATCCAGTGATAGATGAACTGGAGACACAATCCTGTGATTGGGCATCATTGAGGGGGCGTGGCCTCAGTTAGCAGGAGGGGCTAACACGGGACCAGTGCCCAACCGGGACCTAAGACTGGGGGCGGGGCTTCCGTTGGCCCTTGGGACCAAAATCTTAAGTGAGCATCCTTGAGTGGCCTGAGACCTGGGATGGGGCGGGGGGGTGCGTTGGACCAAAGCCTGTGAGAGGCTACCCTGCTTCTGGGCTGGAGAACGTGAGGCCTGGTCCCGGGGATAGAGGGGGTCTGCGGTGCGCAAGGCCACAATGGAGCCCTTGGGCTCCCGCAGAACCGGCTGGCTCTCCTGTTGTCTCTGAGGAGCAGTTCGACCTTCTCTCGGCCCTGAATCTGAGGCAGGAGATGCAGTCCCAGCGAGTATTCAAGAGCTTCCTGAGTATGGGCCAGGCTAGACCAGATCCCTTCTAACTCTCCAGCTTCTCTTCCCGAATTCAGTCTCATCTCTGAGACCCTCGGTTCTCAGCCTCCCCCGCCCCATGCCTGAGTCTGCAGTCCCTTCTCTGTGCCCAACCCACCTTCCTTGAGCCTAAACTCACTCTCTTTGCCCCATCTAATTCTTTTGGCCCCTCTTCATCTCTACCCCTCTTTAAGCTGTAGTCCTGTCGCTGAGCCCCTTCTCTTCTCCTCAGACCTATTTTTCCAGGTGCTGAGCGTGTTTTTATCCCTGCTAGGAGACATGCTGGTCAGTGTGTACAGGTCAGCGGGAGGAAAGGGGGAGCCCCAGGGGTTGCTCTTTGGAGAAGGTGGGGAGCGGGGCCTGACCCTGCTGGGGCTTGAACCGATTCACACCTAGCTGAGTCACACCTAGCTGAGTCGGGTTGGCAGGGGCTGCTGGATCTGGGAGCCTGGGGTGGGGCTGTGGAGTTCTCTAGGATCCCCGGGCCTCAGCCTCCCTCCGGTTTTTTAGAGAGGTCTGTTCCATCCGCTTCCTGCTCACGGCTGTATCCTTGCTGAGCCTCTTTCTGACAGGTGAGAGGGTGGTGAATTCCTGAGTTCTTTGGAGCCAAACCAGGCACATTTTCTCCTATACCCCTCAGCCCACTCTGCCCCTTCAGCTCTCCGCAGTCCCCTTCAGAGCCCTGTAGCCCCCTCTCAAACTCAAATCCCTCAAGACTTCTCCTTCACTGTCCTTTATGCCAGGGAAAATCCTCTTCCACTCTCTTCCCCTGAGACCACCCCCTTCTTTCTCCAGCACTCTGGTGGGGTCTCCTGTACCTGGTCCCTCCTTTGGAGAATGTGAGTCTGGGGGTCTGTGTCCTGGGGTATGTGGTTGGCAGGCTATGAAACTGGAGCTTGCAGGGTGTCCCCTGTGGGCCGTTGGGGGGAGGAAACAGTGCTGGAAGGACTGGATATAAATAGGTTTCTGAGAAATTGTGTCCAGAGGTGCTGGAGGGTCTCTGAGGGTCCTGGGAGGTCAGGAGAGGGGGTGGCAGTCCTCAAAAGGAAGGCCCTTTGAGTCTGCCTGCTCTCAGGCTCAAGTGGGACAAGGTGGGACGGGGGTGGGGGGAACTGAGCAGCGCTGTATTTTGTTCTTTCCTCCCTCCAATAGGAACCTGAGATACTGACTCTAAGGTGAAAGATGGCATCTGGGGGGTGGAATTGGGGGACTCACAGGTGCTCCGGTGGAGCAGATTACGGGAAGTGTCCGGGGAACAGGGCGCTAAGCACACTGTGCCAACCTCCCGCCTGCAGCGAGTACCACGAGCGCGTGCGCACCCAGGGGCAGCAGCTGCAGCAGCTCCAGGTTGAGCTGGATAAACTCCACAAGCAGATGTCCAGCGTTCGCGCAGCCAACAGCGAGGTGAGCTCCGCCGCATCCTGCTCTCAGGAACCCTGTTCCCACAGCCCGGCCCCAGGGGAGTCCAGGGGCTCCGCCCACTGCACAGTCCTCGCACTTGGAAACCCCTTTCGAAGTCCCGCTCCCCGGATCCTGAGTCTTAAAGCCCTGTCCCAGAGCCTCAACTTCGGGATTTCTTTTGGGGCCACAAAGCCCATCCCCGGACACCAGCCCCCCCCCCTTAAAACCAGCCCACAAGCTCGGTCCTCCTACTTTTCAGAGAGTGGCCAAGCTCGTTTTCCAGAGGTTGAATGAGGACTTTGTGCGAAAACCCGACTACGCGCTGAGCTCTGTGGGTAAGACCCGTAGACACTGAGGGACTGAGCCACTGACACACGGAAAGAGACGCAGGCATTGATAGAGACAGCCCTATGCATACGACCGACCCGGAGTCCGACCTCAGGCAGACCCTGACCCAGCTGTCGGTCAGGTCTAGGAGTCCCTGAGCCGTGGCTTCTCCTCTGTTCCAGGAGCCTCCATTGATCTAGAGAAGACTTCCCGTGACTACGAGGACGCGAACACTGCCTACTTCTGGAATCGCTTCAGCTTCTGGAACTACGCGCGGCCACCCACAGTTATCCTGGAGGTGGGCCTGGAACCGGATCAGAGGGGCCAGGGGCGGGACTCTGGGGGAAAAAACACGTAGCTCCCTGGAGGTGGGACCTAGGTGGGCTGAGGGCGTGGCGCCAGGCAGCAACGTGATGGGCCGGAAAGCACCTGGCTGAAAGCGGAACCTGGTTTAGCTGGACTGAGGCTCTTGTTGCTGGAGGAACCTGGCCATGCTAGGGACTGGGGTCTCGGGAGGGATCTGTCTAGGCAGGGGCCCGGGCTGGATGGAGGTGGAGGACTGAACCTAGCGAAACACGGTGGAGGTGAAAAGAGGTTGGCCGGGCAGAGGTGTGAGTGGGGGCTGATGGGGCGCAATGTGAACCGGTGCCAGGGCTGGAGAAGGGCAAAGTCGCTGTATCCCCGAGTTCTGATGGACTCTTGGTCCGCTTGCAGCCAGATGTGTTCCCTGGGAATTGCTGGGCTTTCGAGGGCGACCAGGGCCAGGTGGTGATCCGGCTGCCAGGTCGAGTGCAGCTGAGTGACGTCACCCTGCAGCATCCACCTCCCAGCGTGGCACACACCGGGGGAGCCAATAGCGCTCCCCGCGATTTCACAGTCTACGTGAGTGGGATTGAGGCCAAGGAGGTGGGGGTATTTTGCTTAGAGCACCAGGCACTCATGAAAACTGGTGCCACTGAGTCTCGCTTGTGCATCTATAAAATGGAGATATCACCACTTGTCTGTCAGAGCTGCCATAGGTTCTAATTATAATCACATTCAAATATTAGTTACGGATTATTGAGCGCTCTGTGCTGAATACTTTACATGGATTATTTCCTTGCATTCACACAACCTAGCACTACTCCCCTTCACAGATCGGGAAAGTAATGCTCAGATAGGGGACCTTACTCGCCCAAGGTCGCACAGCTAACAACTGGCCAGACTAAAATGTGCTCCTCCTGAGGGGCGGGGCCTATGGAGTGAAGAGGGGAGGCACTAAGATACTGTGATGGGTGAACTAGAGAGAAAATCCTGTGATTGGGCATCACTGAGGGGGCGTGGCCTCAGTGTTAGCAGGAGGGTCCAACCGGGACCTAAGACTGGGGGCGGGGCTTCTGTTGGCCCTTGGGACCAAAATCTTAAGTGAGCATCCCTGAGGGACGGGGCCTCAGAGTGCCCTGAGACCTGGGATGGGGGGGGGGGGGGGTGCGGTGGGACCAAAGCCCTCTTTGAGCCCTCATTGCACACAACACTTTTCTAACACCAAAAAAACAAATGAGCCCTGGCTGGTGTGGCTCAGGACACATGCTTGGGTTGCAGACCAGGTCCCCAGTTGGGGGCATTCGAGAAGCAACTGATAGATATGTTTCTCTCCCTTTCATTCTCCTTCCTGTCCCTTCTCTCTAAAAAATAAGTTTTAGAAAACAAAAAACAAAGAGCATGCATACAGCTACTGAACACAGAGTAGGTCCTCAACAAAACTGCTTTCTCCCTCCTCCACCTGTGCCTCACTGTTCCTCAATTCACTTTCACCTACCAGGGCCTCCAGGTTGATGATGAAACTGAAGTTTTCTTGGGAAAATTCACCTTCGACGTGGAGAAATCTGAGATTCAGACTTTCCACCTACAGGTGTGTTTGTCTCTGGGGATGAGAGTGCGAAGGGAGTGGGACAGTGAGAGAAGATGGGGGAGAAAGGCAGCCCTTGACTTCCCATGATCCACTGGTCTCCCCAGAATGAACCCCCAGCTGCCTTTCCCAAGGTGAAGATCCAGATTCTAAGCAACTGGGGCCACCCCCATTACACGTGCTTGTATCGAGTCCGAGCCCACGGCATGAGAATCTCAGAGGAAGCAGGGGACAGTGGCACAGGGGAGCCCAATTAAACATGCTGATTGTTAAAAGAGTGGAGGTCTGTGCTGAAAGAAGCTGATCAGCGCTGGAGGGTCTGTTGGAGGCTCTGGTTGTCTTTGGTATATGAGTGTGATTAGGGGGTTACCTCCCAGTGTACCCTCTTCTCTTGGAGAAGTCCAGATCAGTACAGTAGCAGAGTTCATATTATGAAGGGCTTCCATGTGGAAGAGATGGTATTCTGGACATTACACACAGTACCTAACTAATTGTCACACTCACAGAGAGGGAAACTACTCAGATCAGGAAACTTGCTCAAGGTCATGTTGCTAGTGGGTAAGAGTCACAGCAGGGCCCAAGCCCACCTTTTTGACTCCGGAAGCCACTCTTTTAACTGCAGAGCAGCCAGTCAGTGGGAAGCCATGCTTGTGAACCTCAATTCCCACTTCCAGCCTCTGGGAGTCCCTTTTCATGAGACAAACTCTATAATAACTGAAGCTTAAGAAACTCTACGAAGCCTTTGAGTCAGAACTGATGCAGGCCTGGGAGCCTCTACTCAGGTTGTCTTCTATGAGACCTCAAGTACCCAACTCTATGCCAGGCACAGTAGAGATGGCTCACCAGTCTCTGTCCTCAAGGTACCTGGTACAAAAGAGGATGCGCCAGGACACAGGGTAATTCATTTACTGATCCAATAATTCTTCACTAAAAAAGCAGAATTGGAGGAATAAAAGATGGAGGAGATGGTCATTAAAGGATTAATGGATTCTACCTGGACAGAGGGTAGAAAAGGGGACCAGAATGAGCAAAGATACAGTCAACATCTTGGCTGTTAAGATCCTTCCCAGTGTGTTCATATTTTGAAAGAATATGCACACTTATTAACAGTGGTTACAGTGGTTACTTTAGGAAGTGGAATGCTGAGTATGTGTGGGAATGAAGCACAAATCCATCTGCTAAATGTTGTGGGTTTTACTTTTATAATTTGAAGACAAAGGAAAAAGGTCTTCTCAAGTGGTCTCGAAGCCTAGAATTAGAAACGAACTCTTAACACTTCTGGAGAGCAGTTTCACAATAGGAACCAAAAGCCTTAAAACTTGTATACGGTTTAATCATTGCAGTTCCACCTCTAAGAGTGGATCCAAAGAAAATGTAGATGTAATCAAAGTAACACTTTTAAGAACATTCATCACACTGTTGCTTATAAAGGAAACACTGAAGCCCTGACCTGTGTCTCAGTTGGGTGGGCGTCATCACCTGAAGAGAAAGGTGCCGGTTCCATTCCCAGTTAGGGCACATACCTGGGTTGTGGGTTCAATTCCCAGTAGGGGAGCCTACCAGAGGCAACTAACTGATCAGTGTTTCTCTCCCTCCCTTTCTCCTTCCCTTCCCCTCTCTCTAAAAAAAATAAGTAAAACCTTTTTTGAAAAAGAAAAATCTGAAAATAGTATCTAAGAAGATAAATTATGCTACAAAAATTACATGCAGTCAATAGAAATGGTAGTATAAGGGAATATTTAATGTTATAGAAAGTAATTAATGTTATATGGCTAATTTCTTTAAAAGCAAGCTAGACTGGTATACATAAAAAGTATAAACTTCTATATGAAAATAGTTCTAAAGACTAAAAGACACTGTAAATGAGAAGATAGTGTCCTGGAAGGAAATATCTTCAACATGTGTAAGAAAGAACTGAATAATTATAACAAAATAAAGGCTATAAAAACCTATAGATAGCTATTCATAAGAAATAAAATTCAAGGCCCTGGCTGCGTCACTCAGAACATTGTCCTGATATTTCCAAGGTTGTGGGTTCGATCCCTGAACAGTCACAAACAAGAAGCGACTGATAAATGCATAAGTGAGACAACAAATCAATATTTCTTTCTCCCTTCCTCTATCACAAATTTTAAATTTTTAAATAAAATTCACAAAAACATATGAAGTAACTAGCCTTCATAATTAAATAAATTCAAACAAAAATTTTAATTTTTTTCTTGCCTTGCAGATTAACAAAAGGTAAAAACTATTTCTGTGGAGGGCAATTTACAATATTAAAATTTTAAATATTTGTATTGATTTAACATTTCTACTTCAAGGAACAAATCCTTCAAAAACATTCCCGTAAATGCACAGATAAATGTGCAAGGATAGCCACGACAGCACTGTTTGTCATAGAATAAAACTGGAAGGGACCCGAATGTCAGTAAGTAATGAATTGGCTAAATAAGGTGTAGTACAGTTACACACAGAACAATAGATAGGTAGTAAAAAGAATGAGGTCAGCAATTAAGTTCTGATGGGTAAAACACCCAAAATATGGTAAAAGCAAGGTGCAAACAGTATGTATAATATCCTATTTAGAAAAGAAATACTGTCAGGTCTAGGAAAGACAGGGGCCCTCATTTGCTCCATTACCTATTTTGAAGCATGCTAAAATAGTATGTATAATATGATCCCATTTTTATAAAATAAAAAACATGTATTGACAATAAATACTATGGATAAAGGACTAAAAAATATGCACCAAACATTTTGTTGGGGCATAGGAGTTTAGGTGTTATTTTTTTCTGTATTTTTTCTACAACAAATATATATATTTTCTAGTAAGAAAAAAAAACACTTAAAAAATTCAGGCTTGTAGCCTGTTTTTAGGACTAAAACCACCACTGTTCCCTCCGCAGTAGGTCTAGCGTAGCACTTGCTCCATCCTAAAGCCCACCCTCCCTGAACACTCTTCACCTTGTCCTGTGTTCCCAGCTCAGCTCAGCTCAGCTCTGAGGCAGGGCAGGCTGGGTGTCTGATTTACAGTCAATCTTTGTATTTCAAAAATAGAGTCAGTGTCTCTAGAAATCCGGCCAGGAATACCCAATTTTTTTGAGTCAGGCTATTATGTCAAGGGCAACAAAGAGGCTCAGAGAGAAGTACACATGGCTAATGGCACAGTCCCACCCCAAACACACTGGTGACAAAGCAGTGGCCATCACTGATCTTTATTGAATGAGGGGCTCCAGGGGCAAGAAGGTGGGATCAAGAGCAGCAACAGCGGGATTAAGTACAAAAGTATAAAATATAAAGTGCTAAGCACTGGGGAGTGTGCACAGGGGTGGCGCTAGTGCATATAATAGACCTTAAGGACACAGAGCTGAGGACTGGCCACAACCTACCCTCCAAGGGAATCTAGGCCTGAGGGGCCTGTGCAGGGGCCTGTTCAGGGCCCTTGGCTGGAAGTGGAAGTGGCTTCAGTGGGGCACAACCTTGGGCCTTGAAGTAGAAGACCAGCTGTCCAGGTACTTCTGCAAGCACAGTCTGCGCCAATGCCTCCCGAGGGGCCTGCCAGGAGAAGAGGGGCAGGTCAATGGGGGCCCATACCAGCTTCCCAAGGCCTGCATTTTATACACAAAAAGGGATACAAAAGTCAATACCAAACCCTGCCCTAGACGTAGATGAATGGGTATCTCCACTCGTATCAGGGAAAGGTGGAACAGTAAACTTCCAGATCTCATCTGCCCCGAGCTTGCCCCCACTCACATTCTGGAAGCGGCGGTAGGGCACAAACTGCACTATGTCTCGGGCAGCTCCCTCCCCAGAGCGTGTGCGCAGGGGGCCACCATCAGCATCCAGCTGCTCCATGGCCTCGAAGTCAGCACCGCCCACACCCACGATGATCACGGACATGGGCAGGTGAGAGGCACGAACTACAGCCTCACGTGTGGCCTCCACATCTGTCACAGCACCATCAGTCAGCAGCAACAGCACGAAGTATTGCTGGGGATGAGGACATTCATATACTGAAGCAGACTTTTTAAACACCCCAGCCACACATTCCCACGCTGACAAGAAGTCCCCGGCTATGCAGCCCCTTGAGGGGCCAGTGACGAGACCATCCCAGCACCACCACTCCCTCCCACAACCCTCACCGAGGCAGTCCTCTGATGTGCAGCCTGGGCTGCAAACCTGGCCACATGGTTGATGATGGGTGCAAAATTGGTGGGGCCATAGAGGCGCACTTTGGGTAGGGCCTGTCGGTAGGCATCCACAATACCCTGGATACCTAGAGAAGAAGGGCAAGGAGAAAAGACACTATAAGATACTGGGCCGCTCAGGGTTGAGCTGATCCTGACATCACCGTCTTGGGTGAGGAGATTTGGGAACCTGGGTGCATTTCATTCAATCACCCCAGTAACCCAGGGTACTTAACCTTATCCTACAGATGCAGCAATGAAGGCCAAAGACAGGAGGGACACTTGCCCTAAATCACAGCTTGCATTAAAACCCAGATTATGCCCTGACTGGTGTAGCTCAGTGGACTGAGCGGAGGCTGAGAACCTGTGCTCAGGTTCAAGGGGTTGTGAGTTCGATTCCCAGTTGGGGCACATGCCTGGGTTGCGGGCCAGGTCCTCAGTATGAGGTGCTTGAGAGGCAACCACACACTGATATTAAAAACAAAAACAGCCCTGGCTGGTGTAGCTCAGTGGATTGAGCGCGGGCCTGCGAACCAGACAATCGCGGTTCGATTCCCAGTCAAGGCACATGCCAGGGTTGCAGGCAGGTTCCCTGCAGGCCAGTTCCCAGCAGGGCACGCACGAAAGGCAACCATACATTGATGTTTCTCTCCCTCTTTCCTTCCCTTCCCCTCTAAAGATAAATAAATAAAATATTTAAAAACAAAAACAAAAACAAAAACAAAAACAAACCAGATTAGGGGAATGCCCTGACAAATCTAAGGTAGTTGAGCACCAGATTATAACCCACTTAATAAGGCAATGGGTCATAATCCATTTAATAAGAATCCATAGAGGCCTTGGCTGGTGTGGCTCAGTAGATTGAGTGCGGGCCTATGAACCAGATGATCGTGGTTTGATTCCCAGTCAGGGCACATGCCTGGATTGCAGGCCAATTCCCAGCAGGGGACCCACGAGAGGCAACTGTACATTGATATTTCTCTCCCTCTCTCCTCCCTTCCCCTCTAAAGATAAATAAAATCTTTAAAAAAAGAATCCACAGAGATATTAAATAATGGAAGAGGAGAGAAAGCTCTAATAAATGTAGAAGGAGGAATTACAAAATCATTTGATAATCGAGGCATTCTATATATTATCTGGCTTGTAATCTTAAACAATGTCGCTATCATTAAAGACATGAACTCTGGAAGACAAAAATGAATACAACATGAGATCTAAGATTTTCCTTTGCTGTAAAAGACAGGACAAATGGAAGAATTTGAATAAATTCTACAGAATGGATAACAGTATTGTACTGAAATTAATTTCCTGACTTTGAGAATTGTGCTGTGGTTATGTAAGAGTGTGTCTTTGAGTTTAGGAAACACACACTAAAGCATTTAGGGATAAAGGGCCATGCGAATGATGATAGGTGCAAAGTTGGTGGGGCCAGAGAGGCAAACTTGGGGTAGGGCTTATTCCCTACAATCCCCAAACATCTCAGACACAAAACTTGAGTGAAAGTATAACAAAGAAATGTGGTAAAATGTTCATGTTTGGGGATCAGGGTAAAAGTGAACAGCAGCCCCTATAACCCAGGCCCTGACCCCTAAGCTCCAATGATGGAACCCCTATAACTATTCTTATAACTTTTCTCTAAGTCTGAGCTCATGTCAAAATAAAAACCCAGATCAGATTAGGTCAAGTTTTCCGCTTTGGCCTGTTCCCATGTGGAGGTGCCTGGGGAGCCACAAGGTTTGGTCTGCTCTAGATAAGACAGCGGGGCAAAAAGCACCCTGAAAAGAGCTGATGCCCCCAAAATTACCTATGAGCTTCTAGGCAAAGATGATAATATAACAGCTATCATTTTTTAAAAGAGCACTTTGTATGTGCCAGGCTTACTGCTTCAAACTATACACACATCCTCTCCCTTAAACATTCAATACTCTATGATTCTGTGATCCTGCCACACACAGAAGCCAAGC